TTCTTTTGAAACATCACATCCAAGTATCGTTTTGTCTTTTAGAACTCTTTTTATGCTTTCAACTAAAGCAAAGTTCACACTTTTGTTTCAAAAGAGTTCCATATAAAAACACAACGTTCGTTCGAAGTCACACAAGTTATAGTTTACATATATACGAAGAGTAACCCCCGGAAATAAAACCCTAGGGAGCCACCTTAAGTAGCAATGCTGTTCCAACAACTTGTCAACAGGATGTGTTCACACTGCTTGTTCCCAGCTTGTTGTCAACGACTTGTTGACAACTTGGTACAAGGTTGTTGAGCTCAACAGACTTGTTACAAGTTGTTCCAACAACTTGATATCAACAATTTGTCAACAAGTTGTGAGTGCCAACCAGTGGCGTGCTGGCAGGGGAGGCCACGCCCCCCCTCCAGCTGGCAATTCTTGGGGGGGGGGGGCGAAAAAATGAAAAGGGGGCGCCGATCCCGGGCGGAATTTTGAAAGTGGGTGGGAAAAACACATTTGAAAAAATATAGTTACTTCCGCCAAGAAAAGATGTGTTTATAGGCTTATAAACAGACTAGGCGCATAGACGACAAAGTGATATATTAAATTACAGACTATTTTGTCTAACCGTATTTGCTAATTTACTACTTCACGGGTCACACAAAATCGTTCATATAGAAACATGATCAGTGATCACACGCAATGTCTCATTACTGGAATATTGGTCAGGTTTCAAGGCGATCATGGGAATTATGCCCTTTTTTGCTGGTATTATGCCCTTATATTATGTCCTTTACTGTTTGCATTGCTTCACGAATCACGAGAGCGGCGCAAATTAGATAGTTATGATAATGTAAAGTTGTGTAGTTGTTTGTGCAAGAAACATTATGACTCATGAGTAATGTAAGTAACAAGATAATGCTGAAACGTGCCCTTTTGGCAGCCAAGCAAGGTAACCTTAAAATGCATATGCGTGAGGTCCTTGTGTTAATGTATAAAAGAGCTGTAAGTTGTAAATGTATTCAGATCACTAGATCAGTACCGAATAGAATTAATTTATTGGGAGTAGATTAATCGCTGGAATTAGTTAGCATTGCCCAATTTAAGTACTAGTACTAAATTCTAACCAAATTGCAGATTTCAACATGTATTATAATGCCGTTTCCTGACCATCAGATTTCTGTCAAACTTTCCCCCCAAAGTCCAGGAAATGGCATTTCAGAGACCCTAGATTCAAAAATTTTCCGAGGGGACATGCCCCCGGACCCCCTATAGAGAAACCTCACACCTGCTGCGCGCGCGGCTCGTGCTTCGGCCCTCGTTTATCAAGCGTTGCAATATATAGGGGTGCATAATAGTACCCAGCACGCCACTGGCGACAACCTTGTAGCACCTTGATAAAATAACAACATTGTTACAACTTGTGGACATGCTTGCTACAAGCCTTTTGCAAACACATCTTGTTGACAAGTTGGGAGATTTTTACGTGTGTACGTGTTTGCGCGAAGATCGCGTGTGTTCCATCTTAAATGTGCGAAATGGTCAATCATGAAAATTTTTCAGCACCTTATAATGGTGTCTCCAGATAATGAAGATATTGATATTGACTGGCATCTTATGACCTCTTATATATAAACTGCAAATTGTATCTCTTGCATATCAATAGTCCTAAAATCCTATCCAAATAATCCATAATCTTTTTTTTTAACCAGCAATAATCCGTAGTCCTGCCCAAAAATGCCAAATAATCTGTAATCCTAAAACCCTAACAGGGCCTCTATATTGCATTTTATTGTATTGCACTGTGGTGCATTGTATGTAATATTTTGTTGCAATTAATCCTCGCGCGGATGTATGTGCCGAAAATTAAGCCCATGCAGAGGCTCAAAAGACAAAATAAATGATCTCTCGGGATGTTTAACAGGATCCTACTTTTCCTTGATGCCCCTCTACTGACACATAATTATAATATATATTCTAAAAAGCGGCACTGGTGTACTTACAAATTGACCTATGCAGTTATTTTACGAGTTCATTCAGTAAACTTTGACATAATTCGACTTAATTTTATTCAATGTGTGCATAATTTTTCCGTTAGGCCACATAAAATAAATTCCTTGATTTTCATCACCGCCCGACTGTATTTTACGAGCAGCGTGAATTTTTTTTATATTTTGTTATACAATATAAATGTACCACCCGACAAAATATTTCAAGACAGTTAAGTTTTTTATGTTTTAGATTGGGTTTTTAGTGCCATTCTAAACTGCCAATTTCAAACAAATAGAACCTTGAAAGAAATTTCATTGCATTTTAACGGAACTTCGCATTCAGCTCAAGGGCCAGTCATTGATCGTGGAGAAGTATGTTTATTTCAGTTTGTGACACTTTTATTTATTGATATATATTAAATTATATAAATATAAAATATAAAATATGAAATATAAACCTCCCGCCTCTTCGACATTTTTAAAGTGTAGTGATGAGAATCAAGGAATTTATTTTATGTGGCCTTATGTCCTCAAGGCATTCTATAAATAAAAATAATGACGTGCGAGCGCATGCAGCTGTATTTCATAATTGGAAACATCGTCATGGTTGCCATGGAAATATGAAAATCGTATATTTTGGTACGGGCAAAAAACTAATAAATAACATTTGAACGCAGAATCATCAATTTCAAGATCCATAATGTAGTTTTCGACAAGGGTGAGTTGACTACAAAATTTTTGTAGTTCGCTATAACTACAGCTACTTCAAAAATATGTAGTCAGCTACAACTACTGCTGCTTTTGAACAAAGGTAGTTCGCTACTGACTACAGCTACTGCTTAAAAAAATGTTTCGCCATTTCGCTACGTTATATTTTTTAGTTTTACTGTATTTGGAGCATCTACTAACTCAGGCTGAAATGTAACCTATGACAAATCGACTTACGAGTAGCAACAGTAAACACAAAGCAACATTTTTGTAAGCACTACAGTGTTCAAGAGTGCAAATTGACTATTGAGTGTTGATTTTAAGCAAACCGTGTCTCAATATCATGCTATTCTATCAAGTTGCTAACAATTTTAAAAAGTAGCGAATAGCGATTCGCTGGTTGAAAAGTAGTCAACTACTTGGCTACATTTAGGCAAAATGTAGTTCGCTATAACTACAGCTACTGTTTTAAAAAAGTAGTCAAAAATTACTGGCTACTTGAAAATTCTAATACGTGCGCAAATATGCGTACGTAGTAGAAGATGATTACACAAAACATACGACTTATTCAAAAAGTGTCATTTACAACATTCAAGAAAATTCTCATTTTACTAAGAAAAATGATATCCAGAATAATTACTACTGATGAGGTCGCCATGCCATGGAAATTATACATGATGCGCATAAGCCACTGATCTCAAAATATAACTGCATGTTTGTCAGCAAGGAGACAAAAATTTTAAAAACATGTAAGAAAGTTTGGGAAATCGTTTCACGCAATAAATTGTAAAACATGTCTTTTAGTGTCCCATTTCCAAACTTCACCTAAAGAAACACTGTCCGAATTTTTAATTCTGATCTATTTCAATCCCAACTCATTCATTCCCCTCCTGCATGACGTTTTATATATTTCTGAAATTAACCGATTAACCACAGTCACGCTCCTGCTCTTATTGATGATCTGCAGACTTCGCTAAATGCTTTCATTTGCTCGGGTGTAAATACCGAGCATGTTAATTCCCATTCTGCGATCGAGTCTTCGCCTGGCACGAGCCTATAATTGCTTTGGACATAGTGTGGTTTTCTCTATTGCGACATTATTTTTTACCATATTTGCACAGTTGTTTTGTAAACGAGCAACACCCTCGGCGAGTCCAGGGTAAGATATCTTTTTATAGCCTTTATATTTATCAAAACAGATCCATGACTCCGAGGCTCTAAGCCTTTTCTAGCTTTGACATTGTTTCTATCATTTCTATTTCATTATCATGATCATATATATGGTATACAAACGGGCATGGATTGTTTTTATTATATATGGAATTCGTGATTTAGAATCCAATTGACCATGCAGATTTTACCAGCAGAAAGTACGTATTAAAAATATTAGGATATATGCAACGAATTCACGGTTTTTAGCTCGACAACTGCACGCTTTCGCCAAGTTGGTTAGGACACCACTACACTGCTTTTGAAAAAAAATATTTTAGCTTCTTGCAGTAAATTCCTTTTATTTTGATTGTATATTTTCGACATATTTTTTCGATCTTAGACCATTGGCAGAAAAACGACGGCGTGCAAGGCTAGAAGTTCTCATATAGTGATTCTTCGAAAGTTTGACACTGTTCAGATTGAAATTTTACTGAAAAAGTGTGATTTTAGATTATGACACAGTTCAGTTTTAGAACGAAATCGTTAATCGTACGAAATGAACGAATTGACGCGGTGTACCCATGCATAGGTTCACACCCATGTGCTTTTTGGAAACGATTTTATTCCTGAACTGCAGGTTCCTGTGAGAAGTGTCTTGTCACTAATAATCAGGCACATGAGACAATTATTACATTGGCGATTTTCTGAATACATTTTTGACTACTGTTTTAAGACACGCAGAAAAGTAATATTAAAGTAGAGGAAATTTGAACAGATCCTATACTTTTTTAACAAATTAAAACTCGGCATAAAATATTGAAAATTTGTAGCAACTTCGTATTGGTAATTGGTCTCTGAAGATGTCGTGATTAAAACGAAATATTCGATATTTAAACAAATGTCATAATATTTAAGAATTTTTAATTACTTATACAATATCATACAATGAGGGTACTCTTGTGTATAACACAATGCAACTTTAGTATATACTTATGAACGTCTAACATATACTTAGGGCTGATAATATTTGACAGGATGATTCAACAACTGCATGCATGACTACAGCTAGATATATATAATTATAGCTGCAGTATCCTAGTTGGTCATGCATGGGTCCTGGTAGCATGGCTGTCGGTTGTTGACTAGTTACTGATCTCATGATGATTATTTAGCAGACTGGCCATGATTTGCTCGCTGGCTATGCTGTGTATGTCGAGAAGACATGAAGAGTGGATGATTTCCAGATTGCTTTGCCGTCCTTGCAATATTCATGTCGTACGAACCACGACGTTTACGAAAAATAGATCTAACAAACGATGGCAGTCGTTCACTGAGTGACCGCTTTACCCGCAACCTTAAACATAAGAAGAAAATTTTAATTTCAGTTAGAAATATTGTACTGTGTTGCCGTGCATTTGAAAAACTTTAGTATCGGAAGTAATTGAATTTGGCATTACTACTTATACTTACCAAGAATGTTTTGCGACTTTCTTAATAGCCGGTCGGTTCTTTGGATTCATCGCAAGTAATTCCGTGAGAAGGTTTTTCACTTCTGCAAACAAATAGTGTAAATACATTAATTAATTTTGGTCGTTTGCATGTTACCATTGTTACTTGCGGTCGGCGACGTAATCAATTTCAGTTTCGTAAACCACCAGGGTCACCAGTATACAGTCAGTTGGTGTGCGTCACATCCAGTGAATGTGAGAGAAGTGGCGCAAAACACGCGTTTAAACGCGCGTCCCAACGTTTTCACACTCAACTGAACAGTCACAAACAACAAGAGGTCACGAAGTGGAGTTAGGCGATACTTAAAAATTATATCGTGATTATCGTCTATAAACGTAAAAAAGCTTAAAAAGCTATGATAACTACGAATACTAGGATCATATAAAAATTTCAGACAACCGTAATTTCAAATTCCGTACAAGTACGATCATACTATAGTGGACCCAGAACTGCGTGACCCAGTTTCGATCTTGTGCAAATCGTTAAATGTTCAAAACCTTCGAGATTTTGACTTGATAAACAAATAACTAGACACTTGTAAAACTAATAATTCTTCTAATAAATGTTTTGCTTTAATTTGGTCATGCAAGATATACTTTATCCGGGCAAAAATATGTGTCTAGTCATGCCGTGTATAAATGAGTGTAAATTTGGACAAAGCATAGATAACTAAATGCGCAGTTTTCAAAAGTATATACTCGTATTCGAATTCGATAGATGAGTTAAATGTCCCACAATATTAAGAATATTAAATATGCCGTGCCTAAATTTAACTTTTGCCGTAACAAATTTTTCCGTGCCGTGCGTGCCATTGCAAAATATTGCAGCTATACAGTCGTGTACGTGCCGTGTAAACCGGACTTAAGTTAAGGTAACAAATTATCTGAATTGTTGCTATAGGTTAATGCAGTTCATTTCGCATAGTCATGGCTTCATAACTGCATGCTTGTGCTAAAAACAAATTGACATGTCTTTGTTTTTCCCGATTTTCCGGCTATGAATATTATATGATAGCCAAAGAGGAAGAAGAAGGAAGAAGAGGGAAGAAGAAGGAAAAAGGGGGAAGAAGAGGGAAGAAGAAGGAAGAAGAAGGAAGAAAAAGGAAGAAGAAGAAGGAAGAAAAAGAAGGAAGAAGAAGGAAGAAAAAAGGGAGAAGGAAGAAGAAGGAAGAAGAAGAAGAAGGAAGAAGAAGAAAGAAGAAAGAAGAAGAAAGAAGAAAGAAGAAGAAAGAAGAAGATTAGCAGCGATTGGGAACCAGTTCCTGATCCAAAAATGAGCAATCGATACTCGATACATAATTACTACAGATGCCAGCACAACATGTGCGTTTAAACGCGTGTTTCCGTGGTCTCTCATTAATTTTGATAGTTGCCGGTTGTGACGCACGCTGAAAGTAATGACACTGATTTTACTGGTAACCCAGGCGGTTTACGGAACGGAAAAGAGCTGCACTGACGCAGCGCCATATTGTTTTGGCGTGCTTCCACATTTCGTTTTCGTATTTCCATTGCATGACGTCATAACATTGAATATGGTTTTTCATATTCAACGTTGTTACGTCACTTTATTGAATTTCATTCTACTTACATCCAACGCTATCACGTCACGCCGTTGAATAGTATGTAAAACGAATGTTTCAAATAAATAATAAATAGAAAATCCTGTTAACCGATCAGATGAGTACTAAGCCAATGAAATGTTGTGGCAGCGGTCGTGGAAATCAAATCTATTGTATCTTAGGCCTGTTTTAAACGTCGAATTTCGAATGCAATTCTAACAATATATTTTGAAGCTTAATGAGGTTTATCATCTCATTATCTATTGTCTTAACTGCATTCGACGCGACCAAAATTCGACGTATAAAACAGGCCTGAGGCAGGTTATACCTAATATTCAGGATTATTTTGGACATTAAGTCCTGTTTTATACGTCGAATTTCGGTCGCGTCGAATGCAACTCAAACAATAGATAATGAAGCTTAATGAGGTTTATTATCTCATTATCTATTGTCTTAATTGCATTCAACGCGACCAAAATTCGACGTATAAAAACGGCCTAACTTAATTGATCTAACATTTAAAGATCGAAATTTTCATCGTATATCCAGCCTCCAACATATATCCAGTACTGTCTGTAGATATAGGGTAGCTAGGACCTCCAAGACAAAGGGCTTTCGCTCGGAACGTCGCAGTTTGTTCTATTTTCAAGTTGTATATACTGATATAATACCCCCAAATATGAACATATGCACTTACCATCAGATATGTTATCCAACTGTGGTAATCCCGATATTACATCTGAAAACCTTTTGTAATCGGTATAAGGTGCTCGACCATACAACATCTGATATATTGTAATCCCAATAGATCGCACGGCCTCTTTCGATATATCATATCGTCTGTCTGTAATAAATTCTGGTGGGACATTCGTTTCACTGCCTGCATAAGAATATAAAGTGTCAGCGTGCGAATTTATAGAAAACATTTACTTTCATAGGTAAATACCATATGGTTTCGAGTATCACTAGCGCGAGTCCGAGTGTAATTTGAAGCCTTTCATTATTTGAAGGACGAACGAGTGCTTGAATGTTTAGTCCATGCAAATTGCACGAGAAAAATGTTATTACTTTTACTGATAATATACAGTGTGTATCGAAACACCGCCTAGAAACCTTCAGGAATCAAGCTATTGTTGTTGAGTACAAACTTTTATGCTCCAATCCATGGAATTTAAACTAAAATAGCTTCTAATCGTATGAAATTACGCGTGGAACTGATATTTTGTGTACTTTTTGTCGGTACACGCGTGTGGATTGACATTTGTTAATTTTCATTTTGACTGCCAAAATATAGTATATCTGAAATGGTATATAAGAATGGAAAAACTATTTTGTCCTAAACGTTTTTATTAATTAAATTAAATTTGCACCGTGTTGAGCTATAATTGTGAAAATCAGAATAAACATCTGCTTCATGAAGACCATTCAAGTTGAATTTCGAAGAGCTAGTAATAGTCCGTGTGTTGTGACCTGATAAAACCGGTCTTTTGTTAAAAGGATGACTGGTTAATAGAAATTGGTCCTTTTGAGCACAGGCGGCCCAATCTCGCAAGGGTCAGTATAGACTTTATATAGTATGAATGTATATTATATTAATGTATATTATAGTAAAAATATGTCGTAAAATATAAATTTTAAAATGAAATTGACTTGCCTATTTGATAGTGTGTGTTCTCCTTTTATTCCTCCTTTGTTGGACTAATATTTTCCAAGACTTTGTACTCGATGTTACTAGTATACCTGAAAAATGATAAAGGCTAACGATTCACGATCGTCGACACGACGGCACGGCACTTCGAATCGAAAATTTTCACACTCAAATCGCTTTATTCTCCAAACAAATTCGCCAGCATGTACAACAAATGCCGTTCTTCGAAAATACAGAGGTACTTCGGCGAGATGTACAAGTTTTGGACCATATTTTAACAATGGAAATCAAAACCCATTTTATATTGAACTTACCCGGACCGAAAATTACTACGGCGAACGTCTGCGCAACCAGGCCTCCTTTACCGTTGGATTTACAGGGGGGGAGGATGCCACTAATATATTCACGATAATATTTCGAATTAAAGTATCATATTCTACCATACTTTCCAACAAAGAGCCGCTGAATATTACTTCTTCCTTAAATTTCTTCAATCTCCGTCGTTTAATTTTCTTTTCTTCGACAACATCTCGAGTTTTATACAGTATCCGATCGAAGGAGTTTTTATTTTGAATATCAAATTTCAAATAATGTAAACAGTCGCTACGCGGCCGCGATTGGCTGCCTCCTCCGCAGGCCCTCGTTGCGTCATGGGAAGGTCACGATCTGGCGAGGGCCTGCGGAATCTTGTAAAAAAAATGGCGCCGGCGTCACGTCAGCAAGTAAATTTCTACATAATCTTGAATATAAACAGATATAAAAAAGCGGTGTGAAAGTTATAAATTAAACTGGCGACTCTTAGGACGTGAAAGGAAGCATTTTTTAACGATAAGGTTTGTTGTCCACACCAACGTTGCACGAATGAAACTGCCTTCTTTAACGAAGCAGGTTAAAACAACATTTATTCATTTTACAAGATTCCGCAGGCCCTCTCGAAATCGTGACCTTCCCATGACACAACGAGGGCTTGCGCAGGAGGCAGCGCGATTGGCTGGCTGTTACCGGAAATATCTGCTTCCCCCCCTGTAAATCCAACGGTAAAGGAGGCCTGGTTGCGCAGACGTTCGCCGTAGTAATGGGTTTTGATTTCCATTGTTAAAATATGGTTCAAAACTTGTACATCTCGCCGAAGTACCTCTGTATTTTCGAAGAACGGCATTTGTTGTACATGCTGGCGAATTTGTTTGGAGAATAAAGCGATTTGAGCGTGAAAATTTTCGATTCGAAGTGCCGTGCCGTCGTATCGACGATCGTGAATCGTTAGCCTTTATCATGTTTCATGTATACTAGTAACATCGAGTACAAAGTCTTGGAAAATATTAGTCCAACAAAGGAGGAATAAAAGGAGAACACACACTATCAAATAGGCAAGTCAATTTCATTTTAAAATTTATATTTTACGACATATTTTTACTATAATATACATTAATATAATATACATTCATACTATATAAAGTCTATACTGACCCTTGCGAGATTGGGCCGCCTGTGTTTTGAGTGACATAATCGGGTATCGTCATCGATCCGTGTCGTTGAACAATGAAAAATTTGTCATGAAATTATTGACGATAAAATAGCATTTTGTGAGAAAACTGCGGGTCGATACGGTGTGGGAACTTTCGGATTTGAACTCAGCGTGCTTGAAAGTGTTAGTAACGTTCCCGACAAAATATTTCAGATCTAAGACATGCTTAATGAAAGTGAAAGATATCGGGTCACAACACACGGACTATAATTTGCGAAATATTGATACTAAAGCCAGGAAATGTACACCATGCTTCTTTTGTTCTGTACGGTATTTCCTCAATTTTGAATTGCTCTCAGAAAATCACAATTGAGAAATCTTTTGACGTATATGATTCACCATAACAAAGGACAGAAATGTAAATTAGATCGTGGCGAATGAAAATGTTTAGCACAATTACCA